TCTAATTCATTTTATAGAGACTGGCAAAAAATTTCCCAATTTTACTAGGTGGATAAGGACACAGAATGTATTTAAAATAAAAATGGAATGAACCAACCTGAAATAAAAATACTGAGATAGACCAGCCAAGGAATCTGTCCTCTCAACCACAGAAACCTGTTATTGCTCGTGTGGACTAATTTAAGTGCATTCCTTTCAGCTTCCTTAAAATGCAGCTTTTCCAAATCCACCAAGCCCAATTGGCACAATCCATTTACTTGCTTTCATGCATGCAGCAGAGATTATTATCCAGCTTTGCTAGCAAAGAAGAGTCTGGAATCTGAGCATTTTCTGATGGTTGTAGGTACAGCTGAGTTTACAGAGAACAGGAAAACCAGTGAGCCTGCCTGGAACGCGGATTGCAGCTTTGGAGAGCTCCGCGTTTCATAATAAACCCTGCAAGGACCAACCCAGCTCAGCTCCAACCTACTGCAGGCCATGAGAATAAACTGCTAAACTCAGGTATTGCCAACACCTGAATTATGCAAGTCTTGCAGGGTTGGGTGTCTTTCTTCAGCTGAATCAAAAATTTGCAAATAAATTTCAGTTTTCATTTAAAAACTTAAAGCAATTTCTGCCTTCTCGTGACTACCAAGAAAAGTTTTAAAATATTTAGTAGATGCACCCTAAAGGCTCAGAAACCTGGGGAAGAGTAAGAAGAACCTGTTTGTCTTTTAAAAAGAGTCTCATGACTTATAAGGTGGTATCTTGCTTTTGGGGATGGGCAGATCAGATTCATTTTTTGATAGCTTGCATTTGGCAGTAATGTTAACTTTTACTTACCCTGACATACAATTTTAATTTTTACTTTCCTACTGCAATCATGTTTTTCCCTGTGTAGCAGGTTCTGCTAGTGACAGGTGATTGCCAAATATTTTTTTTAGAGGGAAAAGGGAGTGCGGTTGTTTATTTATTTATTTGTGCTCAGAGTGGGTGGGGAAGGTCTGCACACGACTTCCACAAACAAAAAAATGTGAGGTGGCAAACTTTTGAAACGCCTTGCTTTCTTCTGCTGCAGAAACAGGAGACACTGCAATGTATGGGCATATGGGAATTCTCCTACAAAAAATGACATACTATTCTGCTTAAGTTTTTACTTAACCCAGTTCAGAGGGCTTCTCACTTAATCTCAACAACCTACTCTTCATCTCAGCATTACAAACAATAACTGCTTTTTCCTTTGCAGCATGGTTTTCAAAAAGGTTTTATTGTATGAGTATGCACAAGAGAAACTTTGTCCAATTTAGACTATAAAGGTTTTTGTTTTTAAACACTTCAGTAGAGTTTCAATTGTTAAAGATTTTCCTTCTGAAAAGACTGATCAACTTGCTTATATTCTTACTTGCATTCTGAGGTCATTAATTAAAAAAAATAATCAAGGATGCTTATAAAGTCCTCTGCAATCCAATCTCAATTTGTCATCATTAATTAGATCAACATTGCATACAAATGAAGAGCTAACATGATTAGACAGCACGTTTTACTGGAATTCCTACTTAAGGTCATGAAGGGCTTCAGAGAGAAAATTTGTAATATTTTCAAAGTGAACTGCTCATATGTACAGAATCACCTTCTCACCTAGCATCAGCAAGTGCTTCTCTTTGTAATTTTGGTCTATTTTTTTTTCCCTTTAATTAGGAACCCATCACAAACCTGAGCAGAGAAGCTGTTACACTCATCTCCCTTCCAGCCTACACTGTACAAATACTGCTGATTTTGTAACGAGTGTCCACTGTCTAGGGACAATAAACCTCACCCACAGAAAGAGTTCGCAGAATTTGGAGGGGAAAAAACAAAACAAAAAAGTTTTAGGAGAAAAAGTTATTCCAGACCAGGGATATTTTAAGACACATGGCATTTAGGTACTAAGCAAGTACCCTCTCTCCTTTCCCCCACCTCCAACAAAAGTAACCTTGGGATCCACACGTGATTCCAGATATTGCATCCAAAGCACACAGATTGGGATCTAAATGCACCAAGTGGCTTAGAAATCTGAAGCATCTTCACAGGTCTCTAATCATTCCATGAAAGCAGCTCTTGCTTTTTGGAGAACTAACCCATTCCTCTTACCAAGCCCACAACCTTTGTCCCCATGACCTGATCTGACATGACTCAGCCCAGAAGCTCAGAGGAGCCCTGGTGAGGTGAAGTGAGCTGTCCCACAGGACAGCAGATCCCCTGCCAGTCACCACTGAGCCTTCCCAGCAGGGCAAGGTGGGTCAGTCTGGCTCATCCACTCCCAAACAGGGGAAAGTGTGGTACAATGGATTTCCTTACAATACTGTTACCCTGGGGAACTGCAAGAGGGGAGTAAAAAAAAAAAAAAAACAACTCAGAAACGAGGCTTTCAAGTTTTGGACTCTTAGTAAGGGTGGGGCCATCAAGTAATTAAACTTTTAATAGGTCACTTCAGTGGAAGAAACTCTTCCAGTTGGGTAAGTTCCTAATCCATCATTAAAAAAAAAGATGACAGGCATTAATCAAAGTGTATGAAGTCACATGGGGGGGGGGGGGGATGAGCAACTCCAAGAACTTGCTCCTGCTGGGAGGATGGGGCAATCACTCCTCCTTTCATCAACATTTCATGCATGTTTCCACACTTCTCAGGACGACAGTGGGAAGGAGAGCCTTCACGTCCTTCCCCACCCACCCCACTGATAAAGCTGTCGAACACATATTACCGACTGCTCAAGAGCTCATGTGAAACGAGTTGGTGGATTAATTAGCAGAAGGGCAGAGCTCTGAAGATGGAAAGATGCTCTGCTGTGAAAGGCATATTGATTGAAGGTCCCCAGCCACCACCACAGGACTTTCATAATTCACTGCCAACATACAGCACAGTGCCTGCTCCTGCACGAGCAGCTAAATCTGGGTCACTTGGCTCAGAGCAGGGACATCTGGACCACACTCACTCCTTCCTGATCAGAGAGCTGTTCAGGAGCCCATTCCTTTAGTAAAATACATAGATTTATACCCAGACAGACTGCAACATATATAGGAAACACACCTTCATCTGTTGGGAGTGTGATCCACATCAAGGCAAAGGTAAAGGAGGGGAGGCTAAATGTGCCTTGCCTCAGGCTGCACACATTTGATGACTGTAGTCACCAAATACTAATTTTATTTATTTTTAAAGTCAGCATGTACTCTGATCTTTGACCACTACCCACATCCACACTAAAACTCAGCCTTCACTTCTATCCCAGAAATCCACTACCACTAAGGTGAAATATCTCAAGTGCTTGCTTAACTTTAAGCTTCCTAGTAGCTCTCTCTCCTTCATCTCTGCTGGAACAGTCTACTACATACGTTCAAGTCTCATTTCAAAAGACTGCTTTTTGTAGTTGAAAGGGCAGCATCAAACACTCTGGTTCCTTGTAGCTGCATTAGATAATTCTTTGTACCATATGTATCAAAAGAGAATGTCTTTTCATAGCTCCTTCAAAGGACCCTCTCCAGAGCAGCTTGCAAAAATCCAAGCCGGCACTTCTTTGCCCTGAGAAATGCAAAACAGAACTGACCCACAGTTTCCTCACCTAAAGGGAAGTGAAAATAAATATTGTTTATAGTGCCATAGGAGAAACATGGATGCAGCAGGGCATCACTCCTCATGCAGATGAGTAAAAAATGCAATTTCAACCTCAACCTTAAAAATACCTCACCATTTATACATAAACAAATGAAAAATTCAGTTGTGACTAGACCTATCACATTTTAACCTAATTTAACACAATTTTCTGAACTAAGTTCTTAATATCAGTTCTAGACAAATTTTACCAGAAAAGGCTTTTAAAACATATAGGATGCAAAGTTAGTGATCTATTGTTATGTGGCATCTTTTTCCAAAGTGGTGTGCAAGGGCTCTGCAGCTTTGCTGGCAGCAGTGGCTGGGAGTTTCTTTTTTAGTTGCATTTGCAGCTAGACTGTATTTAAATCTGAGATCAAAGTAGTTCCTCCAATTAAAAAGGAAAATAGAAAAAAAAAAAGCACATGTTATTTTAACGTTCTTAGCTTTTGGTAAAAAGTTGATCTTTTTGCTTAAAAAAATAAAATAAAATAAAGTCCTTGCTTTTTTTTGGGTAGCATGGGGTAGGACATTATTTGCTGCACCTACTCTAAGTGCCTGCAGGAGATGAAGGCAAATATTGAACATCTTGAAGGCAGCGATACTCTCCACTGTAAACATCTCTGCTCTTAGAGCCCTAAATCACAACAGCTGGACTTACAGCTCCTGCAGTGCTGTGTCCTGGGCTACGAAGTGTCTACAGCTTGAACAATCAAGCCAGCACCACCAAAAAATCAAGAGCTGGGCTTCAGGTTTCAAGCTTCCACATTTTTTTTTATAAGAAAGGTAGTATTCTGACAGCAAGAGCAAAGTGTTGAATAAAACAAACCAAAACAACAAACCAACAACAAAAACCCCACAATGAAACAACCCCTCCCTCTTAAAAGAAACCCAACACAGGGTTGAGCCAAGCTGGTGGCAGTGGGGTTCCCACACCAGCTGCAAGAGGAAGACACAGAAAAAGAGAAAGCCTCACACTGCATGGGTCTGAGCAAGGAGCACCACCTCCATCCTGCTGGCATGGCCCCACATGCTAAACCTCACACAAACCCATGGATGCTGAAGAAAGCCAAGGGAAGTATTGAAGCAATGCTAATTCCTATCCCAGGTTTTACTCCAGCATACCTGCTAGACCCAAAAGGTCTTTAGGCAACCAGGTTTTTTGCAAGGCATTTTATTCACCTGGGATTTAATGATATTATTGAGGGTTAAATTCCCACCACACCCTCCCAGAGCAACCAAGATAAATCTCTCCCTTCTGTGTGACACATCATACTCTGTAGAGGACTTGGGTCACTTTGTTCTTGCATAAGCCTTGATATGTATCATATGAATAGTGTCACTAAGGGCATGGGGACTGAAGCCAGTGAGGAGCAAAGTGCTGCTGTGTCCTTACCGTCCATGTTGCTGACTTTGCTGTGCTGGACTGTTGAAATGATACATCAAAGCTGTGAGGTCCTGGGTAGTCTGTGTTGGAAGGGATGGCTGGGGAGGGCGAGAGAGCGTCAAAAGTCGAGCTGGGCTGGGCATAAGGCGAGGGGGCCGTGACGCTGTTCTGCGCGTGCTCCGTGTTGTAAGGGCTGGTGGAGGAAGAGCCATTCTGGATCTGCTGGTCCATGCTGTTCAGGAGCCCCAGGTTCGTGTACTGCGGCTGGAGGGGAAGAGATGCACAGGAGTGTTAGAGAAGCAGCATTAGGACAGGCTGGCTAGGCAAGGCATTGCCTTCACAAGACAGGGTACACAGCATAATCTCAGCACCACCGTACATGTGTCACACTAGGACAAAGACTTGCAAGGGATATCCCCCTCTTTACATCGGTGACTGAAACAGAAAGAAGTAAAGCTGCTCACAGTCACACAGTGGATCAACAGCAGAGCTGGGAAAAGAGCCTGCACACAACCAGAAGGTGATTCGCACGGCAGCAAGCCATCACAAGGAGACAGGCTTGCTATGTCTAGCAACACCCAGACAGACCTTTTCGGACGTACTGCTATAACCTGATAAAAATCAGCAGCTTCATTACAGAGCAACTGGCTCTAACTTGTACAAGGCTATATCGTCTCCAACAGTCTCGTGTTCTACATAAAGACTGTTCCTCTTCCTGTGGATCTGATTCCGCTACACACAGTGACAATGAGGAGAAAGGCAGAACTCAGTATGACAGACGGGGATAAATTCCTAGGCGACGTGGAAAAAAGCAAATGCAAAATTTTCACATTCATTTAGTAGAGGAGTTGGGAAACATGCAAACATCTGGAGCAAAACTTTGGTTTAAACACACAGAGAGTGATTCTTCACAAAGTCCACAAATAAACATGGAATTTTTTGCCACAAAATGTCGCAATACTAAAAGACTACCGATATTCAAAAAAGCAGGAGACAAGTTCTGCTAGAGAAAAATCCATCAATACAAGTGTATCTACACTACAGAATTCTAAAATTCTGAACTACAAACAGTTGGAAGCTGGAAAAGTATCACGGAGAAAGTTACACAACTACCACGCATTTTTAATCCTCCAGAGGACATGGCACTGGCCACAGTGACAGGGCACCAGGCAAGCGGTACATGGGGTTCAGTCAGGTACACAGTCTCATCCTTGTTGTGTCCAAAGGGTACTAACTGCACCCAGCTTAGGGCAAGCAGCATCCGAAAGGTTTGTGGTACCCATTCCCAACAGCTCTGGGTTCAACCAGGAACACACACCAATAAAGGCACCTGGTTCTGTTTGCTGCTGACACAGCAGAAGGGACTCGGGCTCCTCCGCTTGTCCAAGGGTCCAAGCAGCTCATGTCCCTCAACATCTTATAGCTTCAATCCCACCCAGAACCATCAAGCTCACCTATTTTCGAGTATTTCAGCCAGTCTGCTCATAACTTCCCTATCTTTCCAACAGTTGCTCCTTTTCCAGACAACTTCTTATCAGCCAAAAAGCAAAGGTTCACTGAATCAGCACCAACCACAAGGCCCATAACGAAAAGCTTTCCCAATACTAGGAATCCCAGCAGCCCTACTGAAGCTTTGAGCAGCACACCACTCCTCTGAGGACCTGAAGGGGAATGGCACAAGCTATATGCTGAGCTCTCCTAGGACTTTAGACAAGCCATTTAACATCCAGATTTACCAGTCATTTCAGCCACAGAGGAAAACAGGGTGGTCCCTGTGCAGGGATGAAGGGTCCTCCCTGTGCCCAAAGACTCTACACTCTCAGTTGTTCTTCCAGAAGGGGAGGAATTACAGAAATTTAAACCTCCTATTGCAGCTCTTCCTTAGGTTTCTGTTTCACTGGAAGAGGCTGGTATTTTCTGGGGTTTTTATTAAACACTGAAGGTGAGGCTGATGGTCTGGGATCTTCAGTGAGGTACTTGGGACCTTCCAGAGATGGATCAGCTTGCGACTAAGAGCTGGGCTGTGAAGGGGAAGGCCCGGTGGGGAACAGCACAGGGGACTTCATTTTGGAAGCTGGGATGGGCTGCAGAGAGAAGGGAGGGCTGGCTCCCTCCCTTGCTCTGTCAGCAACACACTGTGTCCTTGGGCAAGGCACCTCACCTCCCCCTCCACCCTCAGCCTACTGCAGGCAGCAAGGTCTGCAGGGCAGGGATTGCTCCTCACCATGTAAAAGCACTGCACTTAATGGGCCTCTGCTTTGTCTGAGGCCTGTAGGCAGCAGAGTAATAAAAGCAATTACACATTGAGTCCTAATCCTGGGTGAACCAGTGACTCTCCGTGTTGCCTCAGGTTACTCATTTGCCCTCCCTGCCTCAGTTTCTCCCTCTGTGTCAGTGTGGATGTTACAGATGCACAGCACCCCTGTCAGATAGGAAAGCTAGTATCTGCGATTGGACTCATTGCATGCTAGAGAGCTGACAAGGGAATGAGTGATCCAGACTTGTTCTCCTTCTCCAAAAGGAGATTGCAGCTTTGGCAACGCAGATGACAGTTATGTCTCATCTCCTGCAGGCTATTCAGTCAACCAAGACCTATTTAACGGACTTTTGGTACATGTTTCCCCTTGAGGCTAGTTCTGTACAGAAAGAGCCAAAATGCTGATGTACTGTACCAGGAACAGTTTTTTACCTGCTCAGTAATTCTGCATTTAATCAAAAAACAACCCTCTCTGCCCTCCTACCCCAGAATACCTTAGTAAGACCTGAAGACTTCTCAAAAAGGTAGAAGCATCACTCAGTTGTTTCATTTCTCATGGAGATTACCATCAGACACACTCCCTAACCAGCAAATGATGAAAAGACAGCTGTGATGAAAACAGTCTCCTAAACCAGCTCAGACATACAGACAGCAAAACAATAGTGTTTCAGCTTTCACTTAAAAACTATTCCCTCTAATCCAGGCAACTTAAGCTGATGGAGAAAGATGACCAAACAGGCAGTCAGCATTAACAAGACAGCACAGTCTGGAAATGCTGAAGGTGCTGCCTGGACATCAATTAAACAAAAATAATAAAATAAGTGCTCTATTAAAACGTAAGATATCCTTAGGAGAATCAAAGATCCTTTTCATTCCTTTCAGTCCAGAGACCATCTGTCTAAATGTTATCAGCAGAGCAGCCATTCCACTGCATTTATACACTGACATGCCACAGTCAAATGCCGTGTCCCCATTTGCTCCTTAAATAACTATTAATCTCCTTGCACTTATCCTCACGCTGACACAAGCAGCTGTTGGACTCCCCTTCTCTTGCTTCGTGTCCTACCAGCCTTTCACCTTCTCTAGCCCCTTGTTCCCCTCCCCAGGCAGGTGCTCCATCCCGGTGACAAAGCCAGCCACTGGTCTGCACACACACAGCACTAAACCCCGTCTCGCAGCTATGCCCCAAGGCAGGTGGGAGAGTTGTTTGTGCTCAAGGGGTCAACATCTGAACTGCTTGCAAGGTTTTGGAGGAATCAGATAAGACTTTGGGAGGCACACGCCTTCTGACAACAGGACAATTAGAGGGGCAAAAGGCCCGGGAAAGGCACACGCAGGAATTCACCCACCAACACAAGGAGGTCCCTTGGCCCCAGCAATGCTGGGGATGGCAAGAACAAAGAGAGGCTGCAAATTCAGTCTGAAAGGTATTGCCCCCCCAAGAGGGGTCTGCAGAGCGTGTGTTTGCACACACATAGCTTCCTTTCACCATTTACAGAAAGAAACACAACAGTATTTAATCCAGAAATTAATTCATGGCAAGTTTGTAGCCCAGAATTTAACACAAGCTCATGTTTTGCTGTGAGGTTGTTTTAAACAACTGTAGAATGTAGCCTCACCACCAAATCCTGATAGAAAGAGAAAGCTATTTGCTGGAAAGAAGAGAATTGCACGCAAAGATGAAAGAACAGATTATCTAATTTTCAGTGCCTTTTTCACTATTTTGTTCCCTCCATTCAAGTTTCTGAAACTATTAATATCACTAAAGCATTACAAAAACCTTCAGGCAAGTTTAACTGCAAATAGACCACGCACTTCTGAACATCATTTCAATAATGTATCTTGAACTATCAGTTTCGCTTCCTATATCCCATCAGCTTCACTTTTAGGTTTTTGTGCTAACTCATGCTTCTAGATTAGGAGAAATGCGATTGCACTGGAGAGGCTGCTGAATGAAAACCCAGACTGACAACTGCAGAGCTGTTTAAGCACAGTTCTGCTGCTGGGAGGCTGGGTCTCCCCAGGGAACACGGTGGTCAAGGTAAAGCAGAGCCTCTCCTCTGACCCCAGCAGCTCCGGGGCACTTGCCACCAGAGGGCAATGCAAATGCTCCATCACACGGCAGAGCTGGTGTGTGCGAGGGAAGATGCCCCAACCCACTCAAACTGGGGCTCTTCTCATACTGCCTTGCAGCAAGAATCCACCTCCAGTTCTCTGGCCACAGCCCGCTTTAAGCCCATTGTGTTAATTAATAAGGTTATGAGACAGATGTGCAAAGAGACCTCCGTATGAAGGCATGAGGGAAGCAACTAATGCAAGTTAAGAAAAGTTCTCAAGGGGACTTCCACAGCAAAAATCCCCTAAAATATACAGCACCAGCTATTAACTACCCAGTTACCAACATTTCAGAGAGAGTTCTGAAATCTCCTTCGCTTGAGAAAATAAAGGAAAAGTTCTCATCTTCAGGTGTAGAACACCTGGATGCCTCCACCCCTACCAAAACCCTTCTCCCCAACACCAAAAGAACAAGCATCTATATCGTGCACACCTACCAATTGCATTTTAAATTTTCACCACTGGATCTGTGCAGCTCAAGAAAGATATGAGATGATGAAACTAATAAACTATCACGGTTATTAGCAACAAAAAGACTTGCACAGCACTTTGCAAATTTGGTGATTTGTCCTTAACCGCACCACAGTGACACACTAGGGCTAACAATTGCAGGAGTTAGTAGGAAGCAACTTACAGCAACATTTCAGTGCTGGACCAGGGAAATAATCAGAATCCTGTTGGAGAACAGCTATCTTAAAAGCAGCAGAATAAATGTTTTCCACAGTGCTTGATGCCTATCCAAATCAGATGACACACACCTCAAATATACCCAGAAAGAGAAATCCACCTAGGTTTTCAAACCTTCCTGGTAAAGGATTTTAGTAGGTGGAAATAAGTCACATAAGCTAAACAGAAAGCTAAACAGAAGTGCTTCTATCACAATTATTAACCA